GACGCACAGACGTAAGTCCCATAGTCTCCCTGCGCTAGAGACTTGATGGTGAGGTTCATCCATCGGGAGTACTCGTTCAGGATCACCTCGTTGATGCGGAGCTTGGGGTTCTCTAGGATCTTGTCGCTGACTAGTGCTGTGGGAGATTGAAATCCTTAATTTGTCTGCATGCATAATATTATAACGCAAAGAACAGCAATAATCGAAGAGTCTTAAGCACTGTTCACGTCCCAATATGGGTGGCTTAATTTTAAAAGTCTATTTTTATCCATATTTAGATTGCTAGGTCAAAAAAATATCTGATTTTTCTCTATGAATTGACAAACTCCGTTTTTCAATTAAATGACGCTAAGTAGGTTTTTGACAAAACATTTCTAAATCCTGTTAAATATTATTCAGTTAGATAAAAGATTTTGAAAAGATATTGACAAGAAATCTTTAATTCGGCATATTTTATGACACCTTGTGACCAAGTGCTCTGTTCTGCATTAAGTCTCGTGACCAAACAAATTAGATATTCACGATAGTGTAGAACATTTTAATACATTTGCATACTTAGATTTCGGATAAATCTGTCTTTATAACTAATGTTTTTTTACTGAGGCAGTTTTTACGATCTCTCGCGACCCCCCTATAGAGGCTTCGCGACACCCCAGGGGGTCGCGACCCACAGGTTGAAAAACACTGGTGTAGAGCACCTAATTATTATGATCTACATACGAAAAACATATGAAATTAATGCCTATGAAGAGGCAGATTTACTAACATTTACCGTCTTCTCGGTACCAGGAGTTCATGGCCTTAGGGGAGGCTTCGATGTAGCACTGCAGTTCGACGTCGCTACCGAGCGGAGCCCCGACCAGCTGATTCGTCACCTTCACTTGAGGGATAACTGGTAACAAGAAGTAAACAAATAATATTACCTAATATAATACAGCATATTTTTGTAGTTCTAGAATAAGCAAATTTTTCATGAGGAAACTACTATATTTACAAGTGGTACTCGTGCCTACAGGCAATTTTCTTCATAATTAAAATTAATACATTGAAATTAAGTACGGTCATTTGGAGAATAATTAACACAAAGTTTTCGTAGTATGCTACAATACTACGAGGATTGCTACAAATCAAGAACGACTACGAGACTACGAAATCACGAATACGACTACGAGAGAGCTGGGAATTGTAATTATGTATTATATTCGATTGTGGTTTCTCAGAGTGGTTAATCAAAGCTACCACTAGTTCAAATCTTTTGAGTAATTAACCAGAACTTATAATTAATTTCAGGATCGTATTTCCAAATTGACTATACAATATTTATGTATGAATAATTAATTAATTTAAATATCAACATTACAATTATGCGATAACCATGACACATACAGTCCCATAAAGGAGGGAAGTATTTAATTCACTGCAGGCATGGTGTTTGTGTTCCCGTCCATTGGATTTGCATAGATTACGCCGCATCGTTCACTGTAAAGTTAGAGCCAAAGCACACGATGCGTCGCGGCTCCGCACCGCAAAGATTTCGTAGTATCAGAGGAAATACAAATGAGTAGGTCATCTTCAAAGAAACGCACACACTGACAAAATTCGGCGCAACACACCGCTAATCCACGCAAAATTTTGTCAGTGTTTGCATGCGCGCCGCATACGTATTGGCGCGCTCACATACAAACCGTGCTCGGTGCGTTTCTATGAAGGTGACCTACTCATTTGTATTTACTCTGGTAGTATCGCGCGGCGCGGCGCCGCACCAGTGTGTCCGCTACTGATATTTCTATGTAAGACGACGCAGCGACAACGCTCCGGCGTCGCAACGCTGCCATAACGGATCGTGTGCTTTGGCTCTACTTAGCGCGATCTAACTACGACGCAATCTGTTCTGTCGGTGTCAAGCAAACTTATCTGGAACTCTGTACATGTAAGGTTGTATTGATTGAGAGTACGCGTGTATATTCGCAGTGATTGGATAATAATATTAATTGTGAACATCTAACGTATGTATTAATCATACAGTTTGGCGGAACCTTTAACAGTCAATCAAATCAATACCCTGAAATAGATTTCCTTGTACGGAAATGATTGTCGGAGGATTTGTAGATGGGTACTTACTTGCATATGTATTTTTTGTATTGTCTCATATTGACAATCGATAGCTAATCATATTATGTTTATACGTATAATTTCAAAGTAATACCAAAGTTATACGTCTGAATTGATCTACATATGTGTAAAAACAAACTAACTTATGTTTTCTATAATTTTTACACATACGAGTAGATCAATTTTGTTTAAATAGAATTTACAATTAATATATTACTACGTTAACTTCAGATGCAATCATATACTTACGTTCCCCTTTTGAATATTATTATTATAAAGACTTTCTGCCCCGTACAACCAAACTGTGGAATGGACTGTCGTCTGCGGTGTTTCCGGACGGATACGACCTGCAAGCTTTCAAGAGGAGAGCGTATCTTTACCTTAAAGGCCGGCAACGCACCTGTAACGCCCCTGGGTCTGCGGGTGTCTATGGGCGACGGTAATCACTTACCATCAGGTGATCCGTTTGCTCGTTTGCCTCCTATCACATAAAAAAAAAAAAAAAAAAATAAATAAAGAACGACACTTACAGTGTACCTCGACGTGGTACCGGCGGCTGACGGTGGGCGGAATCCCATTGCTAGCGATGCAGTAGTACACGCCCATGTCTGTTAGCTGCACGTGCTGAAGTTCCAAGGTTTGTAGCGGCTTAAAGGAGTAGAGGACACTCACAGTGCACCTCGACGTGGTACCGGCGGCTATCGGTGGGCTTTATGCCGTTGCTAGCGATGCAGTAATACGCGCTCATGCCGTGAACTCATGGTCGCTGCATATGCTGCAGCTCTAAGGTTTGTAGTGGCAAAGGAATAGACACTCACAGTGCACCTCGACGTGGTACCAGCGGCTGACGGTGGGCGGGATGCCGTTGCTAGCGATGCAGTAGTACGTGCTCATGCCGTGAGCTCATGGTCGCTGCATATGCTGAAGCTCTAAGGTTTGTAGTGGCAAAGGAGTAGACACTCACAGTGCACCTCGACGTGGTACCGGCGGCTGACGGTGGGCGGGATGGCGTTGCTAGCGATGCNACCGGCGGCTATCGGTGGGCTTTATGCCGTTGCTAGCGATGCAGTAATACGCGCTCATGCCGTGAACTCATGGTCGCTGCATATGCTGCAGCTCTAAGGTTTGTAGTGGCAAAGGAATAGACACTCACAGTGCACCTCGACGTGGTACCAGCGGCTGACGGTGGGCGGGATGCCGTTGCTAGCGATGCAGTAGTACGTGCTCATGCCGTGAGCTCATGGTCGCTGCATATGCTGAAGCTCTAAGGTTTGTAGTGGCAAAGGAGTAGACACTCACAGTGCACCTCGACGTGGTACCGGCGGCTGACGGTGGGCGGGATGGCGTTGCTAGCGATGCAGTAGTTAGTACGCGCTTATGCCGTGAGCTCATGGTCATTGCATATGCTGCAGCTCTGAGGTTTGTAGTGGCTTAAAGGAGTAGACACTCACAGTGCACCTCGACGTGGTACCGGCGGCTGACGGTGGGCGGGATGCCGTTGCTAGCGATGCAGTAGTACGCGCCCATGTCTGTTCGCTGAACGTGCTGCAGCTCCAAGGTCTCGCCCTTGTGGCTGTCCACCACTGCAACAAAGAGAGGCGTTAAAGAACTGAGCGTGTTCAAAGATAGCTGGGATACTTCTACTGCGAAGCTGAATGAAACTCTACGGCAGAGCTTGTTACTTGTGATTTGTTATTTTTATATTTTCTCTTGCCACGTTTAACTTAATCATGTTACACTTTACACTTTGAAAGTTTTACATCTGAAATTATTTGCATTTTAACTGTAAGGGCGTAAACTGATGTAGATAAATGATTCTTTAAAAAATGATGTTGTGATTAAATCTTATCTTATTATTAATTTAAAATCGTTTTTATATCAGTAACCTTTATTATAAAATAAGCTATAAGTGATGGTAACTATCGCTATATTTTTATTTAAATGAAAAGGTACAGTAATACTAAGGTCTGTTAAAAATGTTGAGCAGCTGCTTCATTCACAAAGCAATGATAAAGTTTTATAAACGTGTTTAGTTTTAGTATAAAATCACTACCCTTGTGCTGCTAATGTTGAGCTAAATATTACGTTACAGTGAGTTCAAAAGTTAATTTAAAAGCAACGACAATTTTCCCAGAACATTCATAACTTTTTCCCGTTTTCAATTATACATTTTTATCTGGCGTATAAAATAATATTTCAAGAGACTATGTATCATAAAATCAACAGTGTATTCAGTTTAACGGGAGTTTAAATACATCTANAGAAGGAATTCACAAATACGAGACATTTTAGTAAGAAAGATTTATGATTATGTATGTAGGATATGAGTGCAAAACGGAACGTAAGGATGTGTGAAAGAGAAGGAAAAGTGTGTGAGTGTGACGTACGACGACGTGTAGACGAACGACAATTGTTATTATTTTCTTTCTATTACTATTTTTATTATTTTCTATCTTGGGCAAATAAATACGTGGGAATTAGAACCGCATTTCAATTCTTACATGTATAAAGCGCTGGCGAATTTTTATCCATTTGTGTATTTGAATATAGATTATTCTCATAGCCTTGTGCTAGATTTGAAACAGTAGTAATCAGTCAAATATTTTTAGTGGATGAAAAGACTATCATGTTACGATCTGTTGTTAGAATTTAGGTGGTAATAAGTTCTTTGAATAAGAAAATATAACAGCCACTTAGCAACCATAATTAGTATACAGCAGCACGTGTAAATTACGACTATTGTTTTACTAATTACAGCGTTGAAAGGAGTGATCAAAAAGTACCTACCTTAGGTATGATTTGTACTACATATAAATTAACATTGAAACTCTTGTATTTCTTGTAATAATCAATTTTATGGCGTCTCTATAATCGTTGCTAAAACTTACTATGTAAGCTGACTTGACTCTCCATCTTTCCCAGTGCGTTGACGGACGCACAGACGTAAGTCCCATAGTCGCCCTGCGCAAGAGACTTGATGGTGAGGTTCATCCATCGGGAGTACTCGTTCAGAATCACCTCGTTGATGCGGAGCTTGGGGTTCTCTAGGATCTTGTCGCTGACAAGTGCTGTGGGAGATTGAAATCCTTAATTTGACTGCATGCACAATATTACAACGCAAAGAAGAACAATAAAATTAAGTATGGATAGTTTAGTTCTAAAACTCACTGACTCTATTTTATCGATATTTTAAGATAGAAAGGTAAAAAAAAACTGATTTTTCTCTATGATTCAACTCTGTTTTTCAATAATTTGATGTTAAGTAGGTTTTTTTTTGCAAAAACATTTCTAAATCCTGTTAAATATTATTCAGTTAGATAAAAGATTTTGAAAAGAAATTGATAAGAAATCTTTAATTCGGAATATTTTATGACACCTTGTGACCAAGTGCTCTGTTCTGCGTTAAGTTCCGTGACCCGTGTATAATCTCAAATTCGATATTCAAGATAATGTATAGTCTGGTCTGCGAGCACGTAGAATTTTGTCCAATGACCCCAAGCTACCCATCCTTATCGCTCGCGCGTAATTATGTTGCACACTCACGGCGGGCGCCCGTCGCACAGTCGCGACAGCAATATAACTTAATTATTATGATCTACATACAAAAAACATATAAAATTAATGCCTATGAAGAGGCAGATTTACTAACATTTACCGTCTTCTCGGTACCAGGAGTTCATGGCTTTAGGAGAGGCTTCGATGTAGCACTGCAGTTCGACGTCGCTACCAAGCGGAGCCCCAACCAGCTGATTCGTCACCTTCACTTGAGGGATAACTGGTAACAAGAAGTAAATAAATAATATAACCTTATACAGCATATTTTTGTAGTACTAGAAAAATTTTTGATTTTGAAAATGAATTTTTCATGAGGAAACTACTTTTACAAGTGGTACTCGTGCCTACAGGCAATTTTCTTCATAATTAAAATTAACACATTGAAATTAAGTACGGTTATTTGGAGAATAATACACAAAGTTTTCGTAGTACCTATGCTACGATGCTACGAGGATTGCTACAAATCATGAACGACTACGAGACTACGAAATCACGAATACGACTACGAGTGAGTTGGGAATTGTAATTATGTATTATATTCGATTGTGGTTTCTCAGAGTGGTTAATCAAAGCTACCACTAGTTCAAATCTTTTGAGTAATTAACAAGAACTTATAATTAATTTCAGGATCGTATTTCCAAACTGATTATAAAATATTAATGTTTGTTAGTATGAATAAATAATTTAAATATGAACAATACAGGGTGATTTTGTTATCAGTATCCAAATTTTTAGGAGCGACTCAGAATCAGTAACTTAATCAATTTACGTAAAAATTTGTAAAACAACATTTTTTTTTTAATAATTGGCTCACGTGGTTAATTTGCTTCGTTAATAGAAAAATACGTACACACAGTTTACTACAAAGCTTAATAGACATAATGGTACGCAAAAATAAGCCTTAACCTATAAAAATTAAGATAATATGGACAACTGCAAATAAGATTTTCAATAATTATTTTCGCGGAAAATACCGCGAATAAGAATAATTAATTTATATTTTTAAATTGTTCTATAGAGCTTATTAAAAACATTTGGATACTGATAACAAAATCACCCTGTATATGAGATAACCATGACACATATAGTCCCATAAAGGAGGGAAGTATTTAATTCACTGCAGGCATGGTGTTTGTGTTCCCGTCCATTGGATTTGCATAGATTACGCCGCATCGTTCACTGTAAAGTTAGAGCCAAAGCACACGATGCGTCGCGGCTCCGCACCGCATAGATTTCGTAGTATCAGAGGAAATACAAATGAGTAGGTCATCTTCATAGAAACGCACACACTGACAAAATTCGGCGCAACACCCCGCTAATCCACGCTAAATTTTGTCAGTGTGTGCATGCGCGCCGCATACGTATTGGCGCGCTCACATACAAACCGTGCTCGGTGCGTTTCTATTAAGGTGACCTACTCATTTGTATTTATTTTGGTAGTATCGCGCGGCGCGGCGCGCCGCACCAGTGTGACCGCTACTGATATTTCTATGTAAGACGACGCAGCGACGACGATCCGGCGTCGCAACGCTGCCATAACGGATCGTGTGCTTTGGCTCTACTTAGCGCGATCTAACTACGACGCAATCTGTTCTGTCGGTGTCAAGCAAACTTATCTGGAACTCTGTACATGTAAGGTTGTATTGATTGAGAGTACGCGTGTATTCGCAGTGATTGGATAATAATATTAATTGTAAACATCTAACGTATGTATTAATCATACAGTTTGGCGGAACCTTTAACAGTCAATCAAATCAATACCCTGAAATAGATTTCCTTGTAAGGAAATGATTGCCGGAAGATTTGTAGATGATTACTTTTGATGATTTTTTTTTGTATTGTCTCTTAATGACAATCGATAGCAAATCATACGTTTATAGGTACGTATAATTTCAAAGTAGTAGCAAATTTATACGTCTAATAAACTTATGTTTTCTATCATTTTTACACATAGATCAATTTTGTTTAAATACAATAAGAATTTACATCAATTTACTACTATAACTTCGAATGCAACGAGATGACATGCAACAATTTACGGATTGACCCCTATAAACCACAACAAATCAAAACAAAATACCAACCAATCGTCACGTTCATAGCCCTCATTAACTCAATAGTCCATCAACTCAAGGGGATCAACAAAACATAGCTTGAAAGCTACGTATTGTTGGATCTCTCTCTCTCTTTTCACGTTTGGCAGCAGACTGTATCCATTAGCAGACTGCAACTAAACGCCCTTGGAGCTCAGAACTTTCGAAGTTCAATAAAAACTGTGAGCACATTATTAGGTACTTTAACCAAAATCGAAAAAGTGCCGTAGACAATAAAAAAACTTCGAATGCAATCGTTTACGTTCCTCTTTTGAATATTATTGTTTTATATTGTATAGAACGACACTCACAGTGCACCTCAACGTGGTACTGGCGGCTGACGGTGAGCGGGATGCCGTTGCTAGCGATGCAGTAGTACGCGCTTATGCCGTGAGCTCATGGTCGCTGCATATGCTGAAGCTCTAAGGTTTGTAGTAGCAAAGGAGTAGACACTCACAGTGCACCTCGACGTGGTATCGGCGGCTGACGGTGGGGGGGATGCCGTTGCTAGCGATGCAGTAGTACGCGCCCATATCTGTTCGCTGAACGTGCTGCAGCTCCAAGGTTTGTAGTGGTTTATGAGAGTGTTAGCAATTTGTAGTTGCTTTTAAAGAACAGACACTCACTGTGCACCTCGACGTGGTACCGGCGGCTGACGGTGGGGGGGATGCCGTTGCTAGCGATGCAGTAGTACGCGCCCATGTCTGTTCGCTGCACGTGCTGCAGCTTCAAGGTTTGTAGTGGCTTACAAGAGTGTTAGCAAATTGTAGTGGCTTATAAAGAATAGACACTCACAGTGCACCTCGACGTGGTACCGGCGGCTGACGGTGGGCGGGATGCCGTTGCTAGCGATGCAGTACTTCGCGCCCATGTCAGTTCGCTGCGCGTGCTGCAGCTCCAAAGTTTGTAGTGGCTTACAAGAGTATTAGCACATTGTAGTGGCTTTCAAAGAACAGATACTCACAGTGCACCTCGACGTGGTACCGGCGGCTGACGGTGGGCGGGATCCCGTTGCTAGCGATGCAGTAATACGCGCCCATGTCTGTTCGCTGAACGTGCTGCAGCTCCAAAGTCTCGCCCTTATGGCTGTCCACCACTGCAACAAAGACAGGTGTTAAAGAACTGAGCGTGTTCAAAGATAGCTGGGATACTTCTACTGCGAAGCTGAATGAAACTCTACGGTAGAGCTTGTTATTTGTGATTTGTTATTTTTATATTTTCCCTTGCCACGTTTAACTTAATCATGTTACACTTTACACTTTGAAAGTGGGTATCTGAAATTATTTGCATTTCAACTGTAAGGGCGTAAACTGATGGAAGGTGAATGATTCTTTAAAAATGATGATAAGATTATTGCTAAATTAATTTCAAATATTTTTATATCAGTAACGCTTAGTATAAAATAGGCTATAAGTGATGGTAACTATCGCTATATTTTTATTTAAATAAGAAGGTACAGTCATACTACTTAAGGTACTGCTTCATTCACAAAGCCATGAAAAAGTTTTGTTAGTGTAGTTCAGTTTTAGTACAAAATTACTACCCTTGTGCTGCTAATGTTGAGCTAAATATTACGTTACAGTGAGTTCAAAAGTTAATTTAAAATCAACGGAAATTTTCCCAGAACATAACTTGTCCCGTTTTCAATTATATTTTTATCTGGCGTATAAAATAATTTTTGCAAGCGACTATGTATTAAAATACTCTTTGCACTCATAAAATCAACAGTGTATTCAATTATTAATTATCGGGAGTTTAAAAACAATATCAGATATAAAAATAATCCTACTTGTTTAAAAAGGTAATAAACATCGAAATCGAAACAGTTTAACGTTCTTTCAATTCATATATTAATAAACGTCACGCTTGTTTGTATTTGCAATAAAACATTTCATTTTCTTTTCTTTTTCTCATTTAAAACCACCGTGTATTCCAAACATGTCAGAAAAGTACTTTACAAAATGCTTCCATTGAAAAATGTAGTAATTTACACCGCGACAACCAGTGCGTAACCACCCTGAAAATGCCGTGCACGAAAATGCAGTCTACCGGCATTATTAATTTAAAATAAGTCATGAATATGAAGTACCGCGTAGGTGAGTTTACGCGTCAATAAATAGGAAATGCCGCGTAATAAGAGCACCGTGAATAAATTACTCGGAAAAGTGGCTCGTGCTCAGTGTTTAAGTAATCTTAGCTTTAAAAAATTACTTCGGCTGGCTCGCACCATCTTACTTTGACTGTAACAAACGTCAAAAATCTGTCAAACTGCATACAAAAACCACAGGTTATCGTGATAGTTACGGTCAAAGTTTGGTGTGCACCACCAAACTTTGACCGTAACTATCACGATCACTCAGCCTTAGTGAGGTTTACACAATGTCTAGTAAAATCACAGTTTTTCAGTAATAAAAATAAGCATTAATATTTTAATGATTTGATAATGAATGCTATAATATGATAGAGGGAGGGATCCTCCTTTAGTTTCAGTAAGGATGTGACACTTTATTGAGACCTCACGCGGACTTCTTGAGAGTTTAAAATTGAATTGCACCATTTTGTTTCATTAGCCTATTCATGCACGTACCTTCACGAACTCTTTGATTAATAATCGACAATTATCACACACTCATACTCGATTAAAGTATACAAAACTGCTGAACATACGCTTCACTTTCCCGCCATAAAATCCCAAATCTCAACGTTTGTTTGTGTGTTTCCATAACTCGGCCCAAAAAAAATCTGCAACCGACGAGGCGCGAAAGATCTCGCGACGGCCCACCTCGTAGACCGCCCCGCGGAAATATCGCTCGTTCTAAAATCACTTTTGAGTATAAAATCTTTTATTATGCGAGCACGGTTCATTTAACGCGGCATTAAGTGAATTTGTCGAACATCGTATTTTAAAAATGAACGGGTAAAAGAGCTGTGAAATATGACGGGATGGAAACGGACTGTATTGTGCGAGTACTTTTTAATGGTGATTATTATAATAACTCTTTAACGGCGTAATGTCATTTTGAAATGAATTAAGGAAGCAATATGTATGCAACAATATGTACAAAATCCGTAATAAAGATTTACAATGCATGTTAAAATGTTTTTGACTCCGAAAAATATTATTAATATGAATAAAGCCTAATCTGAACATAATATGAAAAAAGCAATGGCTAATAGACGTCCCAAAAGAAGCTATTCTTTGATAAGCTTTTATTAGGGCTTCATAATCAGCCATTAATTTTCGTCATCTAAATCACCTAATGGAGGTGTTCCTAACTTAGTAACTTACTTTGTGTCTGTTTACACCAAACAATAGAGTTCAAAATCATAGAGCAAGTCAACAAATTACAGTGTTATGTGCGACAAACAGACACATTAGCGCAATGAATATATCGTCAGTTGCAGGTTCACTTGGGGTAACTGACAAAATACAGTTATTCAGTAGAGCCGTTTAAAGTTTTTTTTCGTCTTAAATCGGACATAACTTTTTTCCTATTTAACCTTTTTTAGATCTGTTTTTACAGAAATGCTTAGAATTCTACGCGGTTTTAGATTAAATAAAAAGAAAAATCGAATATGTCTTAGTTAAGGAAATAAATTGCAGTTACACCAATGTATTTTTGTACTTTTGACAGTTACACTAATTTTACACCATACTTTTGGAAAAAACATAGGTCAAATTGGTGTAAGTACTGCCCAAATTAAAATAATTTGATGTATTTGCTGGGTTTTGTTTACTTATTTGCTGTATAATTTATGTAAAAGTATTAAAAAATAATAGAATTCATGAAAAAAATAACATTTTGTCGTTTTCTTTATTTTTTTTAAATTTTATTTGAAGTAATGTTTATTTTATTCATTAAAAAATGTTAATAAAGCTACGAAAATCAAGAAAATATGTGTATTTAAGACAGAAATATTGAAATAACTAAAGTATTACTGTGAAACTAAGTAATTTCAATATTTTTTTAAGCTTTGACTTACCAATACCGTATTTAGCTCTACGGGGCAACTTAAACTGAAAACAAAATGGATTTAATTTTCCACCTCTTTATAGCAATGTTGAATTAAGGTCATGCGTACTACAACAGTAAAAGTAACAGAGTAACAACAGGTTAATGTTAGCAACGCGCAGTGACGCCTAGTTGGCTGGATAGTTTGCTCAATTTCAATATTTTTTTTTGTTGAGCTAACTTTAACTTCTTTAACTGATTCTGCTGGTATAATAATAATGTAATATGCCTTAAAACTTTCTAAATTCCTATTTTATTTCATGTTATAAACCTTAGCAAATCAGTGTAATTGCAAAGTTTTGTAGCAAAATTTTTACATTATTACAGATACACCAATTCAACCTGGTAAAATTATTACAATGTCAGTTACACCAAAATTGTGAAGGAAATCTGAAAAGTTCACACCTGAAAATGTCCGTGTAATTGTATTTTTTTTAAAGCTAGAATTTTTTTACGTATACCATTCGAAAGAGCAGAAAAAACTAAGAAAAACTGTATATTTAACTCAAAAACCGTATTTTGTCAGTTACCCCAAGTGAACCTGCAACTGACGATATCTGAAAACCGGCAATTGATGTTAACTACCAACACGTTGGGTGGCTGATCACCGATTCAAATTAGGGGAATATAGTTAGTGACGTTTGCGACTACGCGGCTACGAGTAGATTGACTGTAGTCTATTTCTCTCGGTGTTTATAAAATGTTCCGATGAGATTTTTACAAATATCTTTACATACATATCTATTTTAGTAAGATAAAAACCGAAAACATTACTAGCATAATAATACTACTCGTAATTTAATTTAAAAAAAAATGTTCTTCTGGATTTTTCTTCTTCTTAGTTATAAGACTGCTGAAATAATACATCTATCAGCTTTTGGATCTCTTCGCCACCACAACCAGTCAGGTCCGTACATTTTTAAGAATCTGTCTCGATATTTCTGCGTATGTGAATAAAAAAACATTTTGTTATTTTATTTACCAACTATGGGACGATTGACTAGTCACTAGAATAATATAATCAAAGCTAATAATCAATCAGTTTACATGCTCAAGTGAATACAATAACCCATCAATTAGCAATTCCATTTCTATAAATAAACAAAAACCGAAATCACAAATTGTAAAATGAACGCGACAAATTAGCCAAGCCTCATTGGAGCCATTAAGATATTTGAAAAGCGGCAATTGATGTTAACTAGTCCCACATTATTAGGTCCGCTGATCACATTTACATTAGCGGCGTGCTCGTCGCATGGAATAGAGCGGCCATTTTGTTAGAAATTGCCGGATTTTGTTTGACTTTTTCTAAATAGAATGTAGTAGATTGTAACATTGATTATTGGTTTCGATACTTTATATAGATACTATAATATACCAATAATTTTTATAAACAGAAAATTTACATAAAAAACATTGTACGAGTATAAAAAAGCATATAGAAATAGCGTAATTAATAACCTAATGTGATTTTAGGTGTTCTAGTCTCGATCTTAAGTTTTTGTGGTGGGGGACGTTAACAAAATGTATTTTACACTAGCGGCCGCCCGCGAATTCGTACGCGTGGATCCCGTTTTACCCCCTTAGGGGCCCGTTCCCGCGGGAATTTCGGGAATTCCTTTCTTAGTGCACCTCTACGGTACCTAAGCTACGTCCCTTCCAAATATCAAGTGCCTACGTCCCTTCCAAGTTTAGCCGTTTAGGCTGTGCGTTGATATGTCAGTCAGTCAGTCAGTTTCTCCTTTTATATATTTAGATAATATTAGGAATTAGGAAGAAAAATAAAGTTCGATTACCAATTATTATTGAGCCTATAATTTTTGTATTTGTACGTATAATCGTAGTTAGTTCAAGTAGAAAATCCGATTATACAATTTTCACTGAACAGTTATGTAAAACTAGTGGGTGTTCAGATGTTAGAAGGTTTTAGTAGTTGAGTATTTAATAAAATTTATCGGTTCTTGTACCTCCAGTACGTTGGAAGTTTTATGGCTTCCATTCAATTTAACACAATTTAGGTACAGCGGTCCCGCAACTATTCCGAATGGTGACTTGAGCGTGGAGCGAAGTTCAGACTCGCTTC